CAAAACGATATATAACTTAATCTGTCCTAAGGGTGAGGGATAAGGCCTAATAAGAGATTGATATATTAATATCGTTGACCAGTGTAATTCTCAAAAATTAATATATTATTTTAATATTAATCTATTAAAATAAAAAATAATTTTTTAATATATTAATTTTTAAAATATTGAATATTTTTATTTTTATAAAAATTAATTTATATTTTCGACACAGTAATCAATAAATTTTTATAAAAATTAATATCATATGATATTTTTTGAAGAATTATATAAATTCTTTATTAAAGGATATTTATATTAAAAATACTTATTTTTATCATATATAGTATTATACAGTGCAATACCAAATACTAGATGATATTATCTTATATAATATATTATTTTATACAATATCGTGCCAAACACTGGATAGTATTAAAATTGAATGAAGTCTTATACTATCAAATCTTATACTATCAGGCATTATCCTATACTATGTACCAAACATGTCAGATTACAAATTCCATATGAGTATATATTCCTTATAGCTTAAGTTCATGAGTAAGATTATATTAACAGTTTTTTTTATAAATTTACAAATTATATTATATCTGACCGATAATACTTAACTCAAAATATCCTATCAGTCAAATATAATATAATTTGTAAGAGTTCATAAAAAAAATTATAATTTTTTCCTAGGTTGATACCCAAATGAATCTTCTATTTATTTATGTTTTTATGCAATACACGAGTTTCGATGTTAACACATTTAGATAACAGTGAAGTCAAATTATTAAACAAAACCAATATGCCGACTGAGCTAGAAAAGTAAATTCAACTTTATTACGAGTTGACAATATCATAATTCATTAATTTTGTAAGAGAAACGACCATGCGTTGCAAGGCATGATTGGCAACGTTGTTCATGATTTTATTTTCCTTTTCTTCCATTGACATCAACGTGATGTGAGTGTGAGAGAAGGCATTAGAATGTAAGACAAGGAGGAGGGAAAATACATAGAATTTTGAAGTTGACTAAGAGCAAATCTAAGCTCACATTTTGTTTTAACTTTCTTATATAGGTCCCCTGTGCAATTGTTTTTCCTTACGCAATCAATTATAATTATTTTTTATTAATAAGGCATAATTGCAATATTAAAGTTATTTTTTCTTTCTCTATCACGTCAACCGACTTTATGAGAAAAAAGATAAAAATAATAACTTTTAAAATTACAGTTATATCTTATCGATAAGGCATAATTATAATTGATTGCTTCAAAATATTTTTGCTTTGCCCCAATATGAAAAGTGATTTTTCCTTCTAATATCTCCAATTTTCAATCTTTCAAACCTTTGATGGAAAATAAGCTACTTATTGCTCTTATCATAGCATACGTAGGATATAAGGACATGTTTGGTATATAATATAGGATAAGGTCTGATAGTATAAGATATAATTAAATTTTAATACTATCCAGCATTTGGCATGATATTGTATAAGATAATATATTGTATAAGATAATATCATCCAATATTTGGTAATACACTGTATAATACTAGATAGGTTAAAATAAATATTTTTTGTCAAAAATATCTTTTAATAATGAATTTACATAATTATTTCAAATATATCAGATGATATTATTTTTTATAGAAATATGTTGATGAGTGTATCCAAAAAAACATATTAATTTTTATAAAAATAAAAATCTCCAATATTTTAAAAAATTATATATTGAAAAATTATTTGTTATTTTAATATACTAATATTAAAATAATATATTAATGGGTTTGCTTTTCTGCAGTAAACCCAATACGACGTCATTTTGGAGCGAAAATCATGATGTTTTTATAATTTTAATTTATTTCAGGGTTATAATACTCTTTATAATTATAATTTTTTAATATTTCAATTCCAAAACGACGTTGTTTTGGGAGTAAATGCAGATAACTTATCTGCAGTAACTGCAGAAATATTTTTCTGTATATTAATTCTTGAAAATTGCATTGGTTAATACATCAAGCCCTTATTAGGCCTAATCCTACCCTCCTAGGCCTGATTAAGTTATATATCATTTTGATGTATAAAGAGATTCTGCTGTATAAGCTTATATAATACGATGATCAAACCAAATAACTAAAAATGTTGTAATATATAATATAAACTTATACTATCAAGCCTTATACATAATACCAAAAAGGCCCTGATAGTTTCTTTTTCATTGAGCAAGAGTGATTATAATGAACCTCTTTCAATTGTCATTGCTATACAATTTCTCCACCTGATGTGAGTGCCTATTGCTTACCTTTCCTTGTCAATAAGTTTACCCAAAAGAAAAGCATTAGATAATGAATAATTGATGTTAGAAATGAAATGTAATATGGGATAGGTTATTCTATCTATTATTTTTTTTGCCTACCTTTGCCTACCACTTTAAAACACCATTAGATCATAATCTTAACTAACATTTATCTTTCTCTCTCTTCTTGAGATTCTGATTTAACATTGTTGGAAGGTGGTAGGCAAAAATAGGCAGAAAAAATGATAGGTAGAATAACCTATCCTATCTAATATTGCACAGTTAAGAAAGTTAATATTATTTCAGTTAAGGCAGTTCAAAAGAATCGAAGCAAATTAAATTGAATTTTTTCGGTACATAATCAAATTGAATTGTATTTTTTTAACCAATTTTAAGAACCAAATTAATTTTTTAAAATAATTTAAAAATTGAACCGAACCAAAACAAAAAAAAAAATAGTTTGAAAAAACAGAAGAAAAAAAATGAATTTGCTTTAACTCAAAAAGTCAAAACTGGTTCAAAATCAGTTAAGAACTAATTTGCATATCCAAACTTATTTAGAACTGATTTGGAATCAATTATAAATCATAAAATAATTTCAAACTATAAATCAGTTTCAAACTGGTTTAAAAAAAATAAATCAATTTAAATAAAATAAAATAATTTGATTCTTGTAACGGAATTGGTTAGCCTGTTTGAATCCTCTTATTTTTAAGCTAGAAGCTACTTATAAGCTAAAGCTAGAAATAAGAGCTTAAAAAAAGAAGCTAAAAACTGTTTGGAAATTATATAAAAGCTTTAGCTTAAAAATTACTCAAAGCACATATTTCAAGAAAATTATCTCTCTTTGTATCTTTATCACTCTTCATTTAAAGAAAAACACACAATTCAAGAAAAAAAGATAAGAGCTTAAAAAAAAACTCCTAGGAGGAACTTTTAGTTTTCAGCTTTTTTCTTTATTTTTTTTTTTGTTTGGGGCTTTTGCCCCTCTTTATTACAAAAAAAAGAGAATTTTTCGTTATAAGAGCTTTTCCCAAAATCTATTTGGCTAGCTTATGCTTATAAGTAGCTTCTAGCTTAAAAAAAAAATCCAAACATTCACTTAAACTCATCCATTTCATTTCAATAAAAAAAGAGGGTTTGGGTAGAATGATGCCCACCCTTGATTTCAGCAAGATCCTCATAAGCAAAAGATCAAGTCTTTCATCACCTACACCACACTCAGCATAGAACTGAAGGTTTCACCCCCATCCCTTAGGTTTTGCTAGATCTCCATTAACATGACCATAGATTGTTTGGTCAGCCTTGGATCTCAAGAGTCCACACTTCATGGTGAACATGACAGCCTAATGGCACTGGATATATACATATCTATGGCCTCCCATAAATCTCCATATAATAATTAATGCCTCAACAATTAAATCAAACAAGAAATAATTATTACAATGACCACTTCATATCTGCAGCAATTTAATCAAACAAGATAGGACCACCTTGTATTTCTTCCTAAAATAATGGATCAATCAGCTGCTCAAATAAAAACAAAAAACAAAAAACAGAAAGCCATGCTGAAAGATACTCATTACCAATCAAAATTCTTTGTCTTTGGTTTCTACATGAAATTGAGGAATCGCATAGTTCAACTGCTTGCTTAGATTCTCCACTTTCTGATTATTCTCTGTGCCTGCTCTCACAATAAAGTAAGCAAATCAGAAACTAGAAGTGACAAACTATTCTTTTAGTATGAAATGGCAATAGAGAGAAAATCTCTAGGTTTATGATCACATAGGCTATAAAAAATGATAGACTCATAGCATACAACATGAAACCCGGATTTATATTATTTCTCACAAAAAAACACTTTTTGATCGTGCCACATTATATGCGAGCTGGGATTAGTATACTTCATAAGAGGCCAAAAAAAAAAAAATCTATATTATTTCCAGCAATTCATGTTTCTTATCTTCAACTTACATTAAAGTTTAGGAGAGAAAAAAAAACTTCAACTTAGATTTATTCAATGAAAAAATAAAATAAAGAATGGCAATAAAAACCTTCATAAAATGCCTCCCACGCCTAAATAATATTCTATGATCAACTCTTTCAAAAGTCAAAAGTACCAAAATTAATTGCTAATATTATTTAAATTTAAAAAAGTCCACCACCTTCCCTCTTCTAAAATCTTCCTCGTTTTCAATAAAGTCCAACACAGTTGGTAGATAGCTAGGTTATTTAAGCATGCTGACAGGGGTTCGATCATTGATCATGTATATGGAAAAAAATTTGTTGGAAGAAGATTATTCACTTGATGTGATCTCCCGCTTCGAAAAGACCAGTCTTTGATTGTCGGCAGGAAGATATCTTGAAAAAAAAAAAATCTTCCTCATTCATATTCAACACTACAAAAAAAAAAACAAAAACTTAACTGCTTCTCCTAGCCTTTTACTCAAACTGATAGTCAACTAAGCCTAAAAGAAAGGAAAAATAAATAAATGCATAAAAAAACTGCTATGAACATGAAGAAAACAACATTTTCATTTTAAAAAGTGCAACAAAGTCAACACCCCCCTTCCTGTGAACTCTTCTACTTAAGTTCAACCCTGTTCTGTTCTGTTCCTTCCCCTTTGCTCCTTCTTCTCTGCAATGCAAGTTCTTCCACTTGTAGCAATATCACACCAAAAGCTCAAAACTTGAACCTGCATTGCATTGTACTCTTCAATGGGTAACAGAATCGGAAAGGCCTGTCTCTGCAACGCCGGCGCCGGTGCCGGAGATATCTCCGGCAGTTTCGACAACAGGATTAGTTCCCTCTCCAGCCAATACAATAAAACTCTTGGCAACTCCATCTGCTACGTCAGACCGGAACCCAGTCGGTTCGCCGGCGATGTGTCCTCCGATGATGACGTCACCCTCATGACTTTCCGGTCAGTTTCCGGCGCCACTGTGAGTGCAAACTCGTTGTCAACACCTTCAACTTCTCTTGGAGATTCTCTTCGGCACAGCACCGTTATGGATTCCTCTGCTTCGTTTGAAAGCTCTGGTTCCTTCACTCCAACAATGGTGCCTCTGCAACTGCAACATCGACATGATCCTCGTGGCTCCTCTGTGGGTAGCTCCATGGAGAGAGGTTTATCTTGGAATCCTGTGATGGGTCGCTTCATGCCAAGTCCTCGTGATCGTGTTTTGAAGGGTGACCCCATTGAGAAAGTTTCTGAACCTGTGAAGAAACAGAAGAAAAGCTTGAAGCAAATTCTGAGTAGAGCGTTTTTCAACACACTTTCGTTAGGGAAAAGGTTTGTTCCCAAGGAAAACGAGAATGCTAATAATGCTAGAGTGAGTTGTAGCACTAGTTCGAGTGGTGAATTGAGCTTGCATGGTGTTGAGAGTGATAAGTGTTTGGGTGGTGGCGGTGGGGAGCTTTTAATGGGGTGTCAGAATCTTCATTGGGCTCATGGGAGAGCTGGTGAGGATCGTGTACATGTTGTGATTTGTGAGGATCATGGATGGGTTTTTGTTGGGATTTATGATGGGTTTAATGGCCCTGATGCCACTGATTATCTTCTTAACAATCTGTTTTATGCAGTGAATGATGAGCTCAAGAGTGTACTGTGTAGTAGTCATAATTCTAAATCAATGGCTAATACTTCTAATATGGCCAGGTCTAGCGCGTTGGAGGAAAAAGTGTTGTTACCAGTTAAGGGTATCGGGGTTGTTGATGGTTGTTGTTCTTCAGGTTTTCATGAAGAAAAGATAATTTTGGATGGTGTGTCAAAGAGAGTAGAGGGAATGAATAGGAGAAATAGTAATAAAGGGGATGGTGAAAAAGTTGACATTGAAAAGATGATGAAGGTAAACTTGAGTCTTGCAGAAGCAAAAAGTGCAGCAGATTCTAGCCACTCAGATGTGTTACAAGCTCTTTCAGAGGCGTTGAGTAAGACTGAGGATGCATTTCTGAAGATTGTTGATGAGATGATTACTCATAATCCTGAGTTGGCTATGATGGGTTCTTGTGTTTTGGTAATGTTGTTGAAAGGTGAAGATGTTTACTTGATGAATGTGGGAGATAGTCGTGCTGTCTTAGCTACTCAGACTGGGAATTCCCTTCAACTCACAATGGAGCATAGCACTCACATAAAAGAGGTAATTTTCGAAAATTGTTTTCTCAGCAATAAAAATTGTACTTTTTTTTTAAGTTAATACATATGACTTAGTTTGTGAGATCTTTTCTGAATCTCAGGAGGTTTACAGAATCAGGAAAGAGCACCCAGATGATCCTTCTGCAGTAACAAAAGGCCGGGTTAAAGGTTACTTGAGTGTCACAAGGGCTTTTGGTGTTGGGTTCCTTAAGAGGGTACGTAATTTGATAATCTATGCTAAAATTGCTTAAATTACTACCAAAAAAAACATGCCATGCTAGTTTCATGCTCTTATTTCTACTGTAATATTGAATTAGATTATTGACTATATTCTTCAGAAGTAATCACAAGACATGTCAACTTTGTTAAGAGTCAATTTATGTTGGATTATTTCATTGCTCTTAAGTTCCTTAATTTTGCAGCCTAAACAAAATAACGCACTATTAGAGAGTTTCAAAGTTAGCTACAAGGGGGAATCTCCATACATCACTTGTTACCCTTCACTCAACCATCACAGGCTCAGCCCAAATGACAAATTCCTGATATTGTCTTCTGATGGACTTTATCAATACTTCACCAATGAAGAAGCAGTTACCATGGTAGAGTCATTCATAACTTCATGTCCAGATAAAGATCCTGCACAATTTCTCATTAAAGAAGCACTAAGTAGAGCAGCCAAAAAAGCAGGTATATATAAAGCACTTTTCTTCCAACTATATTTCTACAAGAAAGGAATTCATTATAATAAGTCAAAAACAGTATCTTAGTGAGCTTGACTTTCAATTATTGTTGCAGGTATCGAGTTCCATGAGTTGCTTAATATCCCACATGGGGAAAGGCGTCTTTACCATGATGACATCTCTATTGTCATTATCTCCTTGGAGGGAAAAATATGGCGTTCATTAGCGTAAATATTAGATAGATACACATGTGATATATATATAACAACTAATTTCACTTAAACTAATTCAAAGTTTGGGGATATTTCTTGTTCTTGTTCTTGCTTTTTTTTTTTTTTCTTTTTCTTTCTACCCCATTTTATCATTTCTTTCTATAATACCAAAAGATTTATATGAGAAAGGAAAAGAGTGAGTTTTGAAGCAGTCGTTGTTCCTTGTGATCGAAAAGTCACGAGTTCAAATATGATAAAGAATCTCTTTAAAAAATTATAAGAGTGAAACTGCTTACAGTTGACCATCACTCCCTATACTCACACATTAGAGAGCCTCATGCATGGCTTTTTTTATTATTCGAGAAAAAAGAAGTTTTGTATTGATGACCTCTCTTTCTCAATTGTATATCTCCATTATTGCAAGTAAAATATTCCATTTCCCTTAAAAACTGTGTCGTAATTTGATTATGAAGTCATGGGGTTTTTAAATCTAATGATAACAAAACAGGCATGCACTTAAGTGACCAAAGATCTTCATTTTTAAATTCTTCAAGTATTTAACTTATCAGTTTCAAACTATAAGAAACTGAAAGTGGGGACCAGAAAATAGTTTGATTTTGAAGTACTAGGTTGATAGGCAAAGGGCTTGTCCTTTTTTATTTCAAACTCCTCATGGTAGAAATTAATTATTATTTAGATAAAATCTTTGGCAAATTGACTTTGAAAGCAAAGTTTTAGCTCGAAGAAAAATAAACCATTATGATATTTTCTAATTGTTTAATCGCCAATTAGTGTCAATAGAGCAAGCACAATTCAATCATGACAATTCTAGAAGCAATCTAGAAGATTGAAAAATCAAATACATACAGAGAGAGCACCTAAGGTAGTTTTAATTATTTTTAATATTGTACAAATAAATAATTATGTGCAATTTGGATTGACAAATTTATCAGTTTTTATTGGTTCAGTGTGCAAATTATTAAGAGAAAACTTCTCTCTTATTCAGTGTTAACACTCGGATGGTCAATCTTGAGATGTGAAAATGTTATAATATTGGACTGCTTGTCTTAATTTTAACAAACAAAATGAAATATTACACCTAAAAAAAATAGAAAATGAAATTATTTGAACTTTTTTTGAGGTAGTTGGAGTGTGGCTCAACTGCAACACCTTGACTTTTACATTAAGTGCGTCTTAACAGTATGGAAATTTCTAAAGAATTCTGAAGATTGAGAATAGTATAATGCTATATGTAAAGGAATTGAAAATAACTACATAACTATACAAAATTGAAATAATGGAGCAAGATATTCGATCAGATCAAGTTTTTGTACAGTTTAGAGCGGAGGGAAATTTCGGAGGAATATTAATGCAAAAGATTGCTAATAAGGAATTTTAATCTTAAAAGATATAAAAATTAAATTATTAAGAAGGAGCACAGATAATTCATTGGAAAAAGATCATAAGATTTTAGATAATAGATAAGAATATCTTTATGAAATTTTTTAAAGAATGATTATTATTTGTTAATGAATACTTTTTTTTTTTGGTAGGTAATGAATACTTATTTGTTTACATTAAGTTGTTAATTGTAAGGTACGTGACTTTCATATTCAAGAGGAGGGTGGATTGAGTATTATAAATATTTTGCAACCCCCCTTTTCTAAATTAATATTTCATACAAACTTAGATACATGAAAATTTAATCAATACACATTCAAGCAATCATAATACACAATCTATTCTAATGATATAATTTATACTAGCATATATCAAATATTAAAGAAATAATTAAAGTGCTAGAAATTAAATGTGAGAGTTGAGAAAAATGCAAACTCAATTTATTCTGGGTCTAGCTACCTTTTAACTCAAGAATACAAAGAAGAATGGGTTTAGAATTGAATAAACACTCTCAAAGTATAAATAATACAAATTGAAGCATAATAGGTATATAATTTATGACAAGATGAGCTCAAAGGATCAGATGTGTTATGCAAGTGTATGATCAATGAAATCTATCAAGAAAGGTACAAATAAAGATTGAAAAGTGTACAGGATAAGATTGAGGCGTAATCAATGAGTATATATAAGTTTTCAACTAAAACTAGTTGTTTATGACCGTTTACAACCTTTATACGCATACTGGCTAGTAAGGATTTAAATTTTTTTGTGAAATTCGAATCTTTACTTTTTGGGAAGGAGGATTCGAATTCTTTTCGCGAGGGATTTGAATCCCTTCAACTTACAATGAAGAATTCAAATACCTACCAAGGAGGGATTTGAATCCCATCTTGACATCAGCAAATTATGCAGTTCAAAATGGCCTGCCTTTGATTCCAATGCGTCCAAACCTTCTCAAATGAATGTTCTTGACTTGGAAAAAAATATTTCAATGTTCTAAAACATGTCAAGAATATTTTTCATGGGTTTTTCAAATCATTTTCAAGAATATAAAAGCTATGGACCATGCAATTGAAAAACAAGTTTAGTTTGGGTTCATGCAATGCAATCCAATATATACTGTTACATATAAGTCTAAGTCTTAATAAATATATAATCTAAATAAGGCATTAGACTTGGCTTCATGTCTTGAGTCAAGGATTTTGGTTCTTTACTTGAGTTTGATACTTTGACTTGTTTAACAATACTTGGTACTATATATGTTGGACTCGATCCTCTTTTACCATGACTTCTGATATTAAGCTTTTCTTGAATGTAGTCCACAATTTGTTGCTTGGATGTTGGCTTTTATATTGTAATTTCCCTTGGTTTCTCTTGATTCCTTGAGATACTTCTTCCAAACTCATCCATGTTCTTACCACTTTGTTATCTCAACATTATTCTTGTGTGACTCCAATATTTATCTTGTTGGTGAGAGCCCTTGCATGCATTAGTGTTCTGATTATTGAATGGATGATTGTTGTAGCATTGTTACTGCATTCTGTTGAAATTGCAATAATGGGAAAATTGATCCCAATCTATCTTTGAATACTTGGAAAACTTATTTGGTTACTGCATTCTTGTTAGTTAATCATTAGTCTTAGTTTATTTTATTTCTTAATTGTTAAATTAATCATTAGCCACTTACAAATCATCTTTGTTACCTTGATTGCTTCACTTAGAGTTATAGCTTTACTTAATTTCTATGGGAACGATATATGGACTCACACATCCACTTTATTACTTGTTGACACGTGCACTTGCGTACTTGTGTGATTTAAATAATTGATTGCGAAATTGCACAACAACATGATTCATAGTATATTTTGATACAATTTGTCAACTAAAGAAGACAAACGATGGAGTGAATTGCATGGAGGTTGGAATCACTCCATTAATTGCTAAAATTGTCCGATATAGATCAAAATCATGAATCACGGTGTTCCACCAATTCAAAATATTATAGTATTTCCTTTGGTTTTCGATATTGGTTTTCATAGTTGGTTTTCACATTGGTGAAAACGTCACCATTTGACTTGTCAGTTGCAATTTAATGACTTAAATGTTAACATTTACCACCATTTATATTCCTCTTAAATATGAAGGTCACCAGACTCATCCCGCTTGTATATTTGAATTTCAACAAATATGAATAATAACTACTGCCTCATTAATTTTAAATTTAAATGATTTTTTTCATTATGTTTCTCAATCTTATGACTTGATAAGATTTATGATTCATGATTCACAATTCAAAAATTAGTCTAATGGTTCACAATTTGAATTGTGATTCAATTGAAGAGTAGTTCTAAACATGTTTGGATGATGACGGGAGATTGAAGAACAAATCCCAAGTGAGCTTTGATGATGACAACAAGAAAAGAAGTCAAAACGCTATAAATAACCTTTGGCCATGTCACTCCAACACATTATAGCTTGTGGTCTTATCAAATTGAAAGGTGTCTAGATGTTCAAAATAAAATCTATAGGAGCCAAATGAAGATCCAAAGTTTCTGAGGATACATGAAGCAAAGGTGAAGAATTGAAGATTTTAGCATTATCCTATGTAGTAATACATTAACATCTTGTGGTTGTCCCCTTAAGGTTTTGAATCTTTCACTCCAAGATTGTCACGCTCATATTAGATTGCCCCCGATTATGATATTTTGTTTTGATTGATTTTAATTATGTCACATGAACATTCATTTATTACCTTTCATGACATTCATTCATTCGAGGTTTATTTCTTTTTTAGGAATCCTAGGAATGTAGTAGGTCATATTTTGAGTGTGTGCATCATAAAAATGTATTTAGAATCTCTTTAAATATCTTGTAAAATATCCTTAACCACAATATAAATCGCCGCTAAAATATAATCTGTGGTGGTTGAGTAAAGTCGCTATGAAATAACTATCATTGGGTGACTGGTTTCTTGCAATGAATGCTTTATGATTTTTCTATACATAATGTAATTACATATATGCATAATAAGATTATTCTTATAATTATATATATGAATTTCTCTTGTTAATAGAAATTTAAAATGCATGAAATAAACTTGAATTGATATTTTAAAATTGGGTTTAATATTTTTTCTTTTAGAAATTTTTTTTCTGTCACACTAATATAAAAGTGAGTAAGTCTCATTGTAAACAGAACATAGAGAAAAGATTAGTGAGACTCACTTACTTTTATGTGATTGCAACAGAAAAAAATTATGCAATAAAAGTAGAAACATTTTTTCCTTGAAAATTTTATTGTGGGATCCCTTAATAACTATTATCTATCAATCTATAAGAGTTGAAGTGCTTAAATCATTTATGATATTAATAAAAAATGTTGAAACTCACTAATTGCAATTTTGAATGCATACAATTTTTCAAAAATAATTACGTGTTGGTGGGATTGTGTCTTGACAATGAGTTACTTTGAGCTCAAACATTAGCTGTAATCCTCCTCAATGTAGGAAGAGAGTAACAATCACCTTTATTTTATAAGTAGTGGTTACTTTTAATTGATATTATTTGTAATGATGATTGACTATTTTGCTCCTATTTATAGAAATTTTTTATCACTTTG